CATTTCATGCCAAGCAGAATAGATAAAATAATAATAGTGGTAATATACAGAGTGCTGTTGAGATTGTGAAACAAGCAAGATTTTCATACATTGCTGTTGGAATATAAAATGGTATAGCCACTGTGGAAAATAGTTTGTCAGTTTTTTATAATGTTAAACGTGCAGTTACCATATAAACCAGCAATTCCAGGCATAGGTATTAAGCTAAGAATATTGAAAACATATTGTATTAGTCTGTTTTCACACTGCCTTAAAGATGCTACCTGAGACTGAATAATTTATAAAGAAAAAAGTTTGAATCAGAGTTTTGCATGGCTGGAGAGGCCTCAGGAAACTTACAATGGAAGCAGAAGGTAAAAGGGAAGCAAGGAACTCTTTACATGGCAGCGGAAGAGAGACAGCACACAGGGGAAACTACCACTTTGCAAACCATCAGATCTCATGAGAAGTTCCTCACTATCACAAGATTAGCATGGTGGAAACCACCGCCGTGATCCAATCACCTTTTACTAGGCCCCTTCCTCTACATAAGAGGATTACAATTTAAGATGAGATTTGGGTGGGGCCACAGGTTCAAACCATATCATTCTGCCCTTGCCCCCTCCCAAATCTCATGTCCTTTTTACATTTCAAAACCAATCATGCCTTCCTAACAGTCCCACAAAGTCTTAACTTATTCCAGAATTAACCCCAAAGTCCAAATCCAAAGTCTCATCTGAGACAAGGCAAGTCCTTTCTGTCTGTTAGCCTGTAAAATAAAAAACAAGTTAGTTATTTCCAAGATACAATGGGGGTACAGGCATTGGGTAAATGTTCCCATTTTGCTCTGGCCAAAAGAGGGAGAAATTGGTCAGAACAAAAAAGGCTACAAGCCCCATGCAGCACAGTCATTCAATATTAAAGCTCTGAAATAATCTCTTTTGACTTTATGTCCCATATCCTGGACACACTGATGTGAGAGGTGGGCTCCTAAGGCCTTGGGCAGCTCACTTCTGTGACTCTGCAGGGTGTAGCCCTCATGGCTGCTTTCACAGGCTGGAATGGAGTGTCTGTGGCTCTTCTAGGAATGCAGTGCAAGCTGTGGGTGGATGTACATTTCCGGGGTCTGGAGGATGGTGACCTTCTCACAACTCCAGCAGACAGTGCCCCAGTGGGGACTCTGTGTGGGAAATCACACCCCACACTTCCCTTCTTCAATGCCCTAGTGGAGGTTCTCCATGAGGGTTCTGATTTGTGGCAGATTGTTGCCTGGACATCCAGGCATTTCCATATGTCCTCTGAAACTTAGGCAGAGGTTCCCAAACCTGAACTCTTATTTTCTGCACACCTACAGGCCCAATACCACTTGGAGTCACCAATGCTTGGAGCTGGCACCCTCTGAAGCAACAGCTGGAGTTATACCCTGGCCCCTATTAGCCATGGCTGGAACTGGAGGTTCTGGGACACAGGGCATCAAGTCCTGAAGCTGCACAGAGCAGCCAAGGCCAGAGTGTGATGTATAAAGCCATATTTCCCTCCTAGGTCTCCAGGTAGGTGATGGGCGTGACTCCCCTAAAAGTCTCTGACATGTCCCGGAGACATTTTCCCCATTGTCTTGGCTATTGACATTCAGCTCCTTGTTACTTATGCAAATTTCTGTGGCCAGCTTGAATTCCTCCACAGAAAATGGGTTTTCCTTTCCTACCACATGGTCAGGCTGCAAAATTTCCAAATCTTTATGCTGTGTTTCCTTTTTCAAACAAGTTCCAATTTCAAACCATCTCTTTGTGAACACATATAACTGAAAGCTTTTAGAACTAGCCAGGTCACATGTTGAATGTTCTGCTGCTTAAAAATATCTTCCACCAGATACCCTCAATCATCTCTCTCAAGTTCAAAGTTCAACAGATCTCTAGGGCAGGGGAAAAATGCCACTAGCTTCTCTGTTAAAGCATAGCAAGAGTGACCTTTGCTCCAGTTCCCAGTAAGTTCCCGTCTTCATCTGAGACCACCTCAGCATGGACTACATTGTCCATATCACTATCAGCATTTTGGTCAAAACCATTTAACAAGTCTTTAGGAAGTTCCGAACTTTCCCACATCTTCCGGTCTTCTTCTAAGTCCTCCAAACTGGTCCAACCTCTGCCTATTTCTCAGTTCCAAAGTTGCTTCCACATTTCCAGTTTATCATTAGAGCAGCACCTAACTCTGCCGGTACCAATTATCTGTATTAGTCTGTTTTCACACTGCTGTGAAGATACTACCTAAGACTGGATAATTTATAAAGAAAAATTGTTTAATTTACTCACAGTTTCTCATGGTTGGAGAGACTTCAGAAAATTTACATCATGACGGAAGGTGAAGGGGAAGCAAAACACATGTTACATGGTGGCAGGAGAGAGAGAATACACACGGGGAAACTGGCACTTTTAAAACATCAGATCTCTTGAGAAGTCCCTTACTATCATGAGAACAGCATGAGGGAAATCATCCCCATGATCTGGTCACCTCTTAACAGGTCCCTTTCTTGACATGTTGGGATTAGAGTTACAGATGAAATTTGGATGGGGACACAGAGCCAAATTATATTACATATGCCCACAAAAATATCTGTATGTGAACAGTTCTACCAGTTTTATCCACAATAACTCCAGACTCAAAATCATCTAAATGTCATTTTCTAGTGTATAGCATACATACAATAAAATACCACTTGGCAATAAAAGGGAATGAACTGTTGGAATATGCAACAACATGGCTGAATCTCAAAAGCATTATGCTCTGTGAAGGAAGTTAAACACAGAAGGAAACATAATGTATAGTTCCATTTACCATGCAGTTCAAAAAATAAGACTATAGGAAGAGAAATTTGGATACTAGGGAGGCAGATTGACCCAAAGGACCACAGGAGAATTTCTAGAAATAATGGAAATACTCTATCTCAATCATAAGCTACTTGTGGCTATAGGATACTCTAATGATAGTTTCATTCTCTGTAGTGTTGTTATGCCTAAATTTCTAAAGAGGGAAAAGGAAAAGAAGGGGAGAGGAGGGAAGGGAAAGAAAGGGAAAAGGAAGGGAAGGAAAAAGAAAGGAAGGCAGGAAGGAAGGGAAAGAAAAGGGAAGAAAAAAGAAAAGAGGGAGGTAGGGAGAGAGGAAGGAAGAAAGCAAGGGATGAAGGAAGGGAAGAAGGAAGGGAGGAAGGAAGGAAGGAAAGGAAGAAGGAAGGAAGGGAGGAAGGAAGGAAGGGAGAAAGGAAGGAAGGAAGGGAGAAAGGAAGGGAGGAAGGAAGGAAGGGAGGAAGGAAGGGAGGGAGGGAGAAAGGGAAGGAGGAAGGAAGGAAGAGAAGGAAGGGAGGAAGAAAGAGAGGGAGAAAGAGAGGGAGGAAGGGAGGGAGGAAGGAAGGGAGGAAGGAAGGGAAAACGGAAGGAAAGAAGGAAGGAAAGAAGCAAGGGAGGAAGGAAGGAAGGGAGGAAGGGAGGGAGGAAGGAAGGCAGGAAGGAAGGGAGGGAGGGAGGAAGGAAGGAAGGAAGGGAAGGAAGGAAAAAGAAAAGATTTTAATATCATGTGTTCTCTGACATATCAAGACAGTGAGTTTTTCTTTTTATACTAATACTTTGCCTATGTATGTAGAGCACATGGAGTGTTTATTAGTTCCAGAATCCACTTTTGAGCTGTTAAGGCTACTCTAGTTTTGTTTTGCTTTTTCTGCCTTTCAGAGGGACACATTTATTAGCACTTGTGAGTTGTTCCTTTGCATTTGTATTAAGTGCACACATAACTCCTAATAAAAAAAGTGTTAAATCAATAAGAAATGGGTGGAGGGAGTGTTAATTGGAATGGACTTATTCTCAAGTTATTTTACTGTTTCCCAGCCACAGTGAGCTGGTCTAGAAAGGCTAGAACTTTTGGATATTAGAAAGCTGTTTTTGTTTTTCTTTTGTTTTTGAGCGGAGTCAACGTTTAGTGAGAAAAGAAAAAATATTTCTCATTTGAAAGGAGTTAAAAGCTGCCATTATAAGGAATCCCACGTGTTGGGGTGGTGCATCCTTTTTAGTAAATTTAATAGGTGTCCATTCATAAAGCACAGCTTATTTTACTTTGGTGAATCAGAGCAATGGTTTAAGTATTGCACAAGGGCACTTCATGTGATGCATGCCACACTTTGGATTCTGCATGGGAGAGATAATCATAAAACAAAGTAACTAAGTGCTCTGAAGCAGCGTGCTTTGGAATAAAGCAAGTTAATTTTCAGGTAGTTAAGAGGCTCTCTTTTCGGTAACAATTGTGCACACCATTTCCCTTAGTTAAACCAAACAAAATGTCAGATTCAAAAGAAGAAGAATAGGCATAGATAAGAAGCTTCTTTCTGCCTTTAATCTAAGCATGGATTACCAAGATTCTTTTCTCTTTCCTGGGCTAGGAAGTGAAATATACTTTAAATGTATAAAGATCAGTAAGGCATAGAATTCCCCTATTGAACACTATTCAATGTGAATATCCTTAGGAAAGGTAAATAAGGCTTTGTTAGGCTTTTATATCTTAGTATAAATAAGCTTAATAGTTTCTTTTCTAAGACAAGTTGAAGTTGAATTTACTTTTATATTTGCAAGGTATTTGCAACTTGACTCTGAATAAGAAAACTATGCTTAAAGCTTCAATTTTGCTTCTAGCTTACGGAGAAATTAGGGTAAACTTAACGGAGCTCCCTGAGAGGTAATTTTTCCATGTATGGGCTGACCAGAGGATGTTTAAAGACCATGTAACTCTAATACTTCAACTTAAAAGCTTCGGAAAAAAATGTTAAGAATTCCTCAAAGTTTATTTTAGGTATAAACTAATAATTGCAGCTAAGAATCTGTCCTTTTATCCAGAAAAAAATTGAAAATAAAACAAAACAAAAAACGATGAGTTGATTGAGAGCATAACCATAGATAATGCCACAAGATAGGCTCATCAGCAAATATCTGAAAAACTTCTATATAAAGTCTTACTAAAAAAGTTGTGTTTATTGTTTCCTAAGTGAGCTGTGTCTAACGTAGCCTCTTGTCAAGGAAGATGCCTTGTGTGGACACCCAAGGTAATGCTGCACTCCTCAGTTCTGATACTGGTTTCTTAAGATATCAATACAAGGTTTGACAGATTGCGGAGACTACTGAATATAGTTAGTATTTGGAGAAATCCACTGTTTCTAGTAACAAGTGAAATGCTTGTGTAAAAAAAAAAAAGACAAAGTATTTTGAATAGTAACTACTGATGCTCCTGATACATTAATGGAAGTGGAGAAAGAATTTTGTGTAATTCCATTTGGTTCAGTAAGTAAGTAAGTGAGTATGTACTCACAAATAATAAGAGGCAAGATAGTCATACATGTGATAACATATAACATTGAAGGTCAGACCACAGTGAATTTCAGGGAGAAAACACTGAGTGGCTTCCTTCCAAGTGTTACAGAGTGACTAAAGTACAACTCAGTAGATGAAGATGTGATAAATTAAGCAATAACCAAGGGAAGCATTTTTATAATAAAAGGTGAGCAAGGAGGAGGGAGTGTTCAGACGGTGGCCACACCCAGGTCTAAGAGTATATATAACTGGGAGTCCAGACTATGACATTTAAACTCAGAGAATCTTTCCACTACAACTCAGCTGAACTCACATCTCCCGTCAACATGTCCTACAACTGCTGCTCTGGAAACTTCTCCTCCCGCTCCTGTGGGGGCTACATGCGCTACCCAGGCTCCTCCTGTGGTTCTTCCTACCCCAGCAACCTGGTCTACAGCACTGACCTCTGCTCTCCCAGCACCTGCCAGCTGGGTTCCTCTCTCTACGGGGGCTGTCAGGAGCCCCGCTGCGAGCCCACCAGCTACCAGACATCCTGTGTGGAGTCCAGCCCCTGCCAGACCTCCTGCTACCGCCCGAGAACCTCTGTGCTCTTCAGTCCCTGCCAGACGACTTACTCTGGGCCTCTAGGCTTTGGCTCCAGCAGCTGCCGCCCCCTGGGCTATGGATCCAGGAGCTGCTACTCAGTGGGCTGTGGATCCAGTGGCTTCAGATCCCTGGGTTATGGAGGCTGCGGCTTCCCTTCCCTGGGCTATGGATCTGGATTCTGCCGCCCAACCTACTTGGCTTCTAGGAGCTGCCAGTCCTCTTGGTACAGACCAGCCTACGGATCAACCTTCTGTAGATCAACTTGCTGAATTTCCAGACCTTTTAAGCAAAATGTCTCAGTCTCTATGTAGAGCTGCTATCATAGGCTTTTCCAGCCATGTGAGCTAACCCCTCTTACCACCAGCTCTTTGTCCTTTCTCTGGCATCAAGTACTGGCTGGACAGGCTAGTTCTTCAGATTGTGGAATTAATGAATGACCAAAATATAGAGTCAAATGTCTATAATTTTGAAACAAGTAATTCATTATTACTTAAGTTCATCTTATAAAGTATATGGAAGTTCAGTTTCGTTTCACCTAATAAATTCATTTACTGTTGATTCCAATATGTTCTTTTTGTCTTTTATTGGGTTTCAAAGTTTGATTTGTGATCTGTATTTGGGGCTACAAGCCCCCAGAGGGCCTTTCCTTGGACATCTATTTCCCTAGGTAATGTCATCAGGCCTGGTGTATGGGGAGACGCTGTGGGAACGCCACTGCCTAAAAGACAACAACTGCATGTCTTCTGCTATGAAAACTGGTTGGATTCTTAACAGAATTATTGAGAGTAGGCCCATAACTGTGGCGAGTTTTCAAAAAAGACACATTTTGCTGACAATCACATTTGTCTTTTGTTTACATTTTAAAAACAGTATTTATAATTTGCTCAGAAGATGTCAACTAGGTGATTAAATTTAAAATATATAAATTATTTGAAGAAATCTGATATGTTAGGATGAAAAAGGGAAAATACAAAGTGTTAGGTACTGGAAGGCATTAGGGTTTTGTTTAAATATAGGACAAAATAAATTATCCAGCGTGTTGTGTATGTTGTGTGTGTGTTGTGTGTATGCGTGTATGAGAGAGAGAGAAGCAGAGAAAACAAAGACTTAAGGTTTACAACTGTGAGTAATAGAAACAGTTATATGGAGAAATACTCTGGCTTGTTACAAATTTATATTTATAAATTATGCATTTATAGAACTGTTATGACCTGTGTGTTTTTCTTTAAGTTATTGAGTTTCTCAACAAGGAAAAATATAGTATTTTTCTGTGATTTCTGCATTGAGTGGGAGTTTAAATTAGATTACTTTCAATATTCTAGAGCTTATAACCTTCCTCCATATCCCTGGGATCCACTGCTCAGTTGTGACAGTGTGAATAAAAATAAATATTTGTAGGATGCTATTCAGATCTGAGACATAACAACTTCTTTGTTTACTTTAATTTGAGCAAGCGATTTCTTTCAAAGGTTAAAGGTAGCATAAAAACTCAGTTAAAACTTATCCAGAAAATATTTAGGAACAACTCTCTATGAATGGGAAAATAACTTTCAAAGATTATCATTTCCTTCAATAATATGTCATGAGCTTTAACTGATTTTTCTTCCCTGACACCTTTTCCTTAAGCTTTTTAAAATTAACTCTGAAACAAGAGGGTATCTTTTCTCTTATACTGGAGACAATATGGGCTAAGCGTGAAAGTGTGGGAACCACATCATCTCATTATAGAAACCTGCCTGATACAGAAACTAAGAATAGAGAAGGGAGACACAGGAAGAAATTCTAGCGACACAGGAGTCTCTGATTCCCATGTCCCTTAAACCAGGTTTATTCCTCTTTTAAGTGTTTTGATTATATGGGTCAATAAAGTTTTCTTTAGGTTTAAACTAAATAAAATAATTGAAATAAAATAAGGCTTCTGGCACTACATACAAATATTTACAATTAATAAAAATTTATCATCAAGTGCAGAGTTACTCATTGACTTTGATGTAAATAGGCAACTAAAAATTTGTATTAGTTAGACAAAAAGATCCTATGAGTCTAAATTATGCCATTAGCATTGAAGGTGGACTACTAATTTAGGTTTAAATAATGTAGAATGAGTAAAATGTGGATTAAAAATACCGTTTGAGAAAATGAACCCAAAGGGGTCACAGTAGCATGGCCATTAACAAAATCCTGGGAGCTAGAGGTTCATAACTTTAAGAGCAGAGGCACCCAGCCAGCCCTGTAAAAAGAGATGAGCACAGAGAAATGTTTAAAACACAGCAATTCCAAGATAGAAGGAAGGGGTGTCCAGTGACATACAGGATCTAATTCTGGAGGGACTTGAAGAATTTCCCCATTCTAATGCAATCTTTGAAGTGGAAGGCAAAAAAGAGCAGGAAATTAGCACATTAGAATACTTTCTCAATACTTAAACCTTTCAAAGTATAATGTGAAGATTCAGATTTCAGGAATCAGACAAAATGAATATTCTTTGCCTCCTCCATTCTCTGCATGAGTAATCTTTCCTTAATATGCCATCTCTGCTAATCTCCATCTATTTTTTTCTTCTCTCACCTATTCTCTTTGCTTTTCTCCCCCACGTCCCTCTCTCTCTCCCTCCATGAATCAATTACCTCCCACTGGGTTCCTCCCACAAGATGTGGGGATTTGATGAACTACAATTCAAGATGAGATTTGGGTGATGACACAGAGCCAGACCATATCACAGCCTTTGTACATTATCCCCTTCCTTTGATTAATCTATTAAAACTTGTTTTAAATCTCAGTAATGTTTCATTTCAACATGTATCCTTTTAGGTAAAGTAGATCCTTACAAGTAAGTAGAAAACAGCAGAAAAATGAGACTGGGAAACAGGGGAATAAAAGTCACGAGCACCAAAACTGTGTACTCTATTATTTTGCATTAGTGTGTGTGGTCTGGTGTGTGTTTCGGATGCTCTACATTTTATAGAATTATCTCTTTTCCTGTCAACCTAAAGATGTGATTCTATTTATATGATTACTATAGGTAGTCTGGAATTTTGAAATCTCTTAAGTTTTTTCCATTTATAGAACCATATAAAGGAAAATAGAGTAAGTAAAAAAATACATGTTTGGAGTTAGATTATATTCTTGGTTCTCTTGTTAAATTAGAGTTTGATCTTATACTTAGAAATTAACCTTGGGTGTCACCTTCCTGATACGTAAAATGAGATGGCACTTCCACTTCATAATTTGTAATCTCAGAGGTTCCTTCCAGAATTACAGACATATTCACATTTTATAATGAGTGTTAGTAGTAGTATATGGGGATGGGGAGTGAGCTGTTAAAGTTCCCACCACAGTTTAAATTCTTCTATCTGTCATAGGAAAGGAAAGGGAAGGCAAATGTTTAAAATCCGATGCAATAGTATTAAGATAAATTTTGAAAAAGGTAAAATGATGATTCTTACACAAATGAAAAAATAAGCACATATAATTTTTTATTTAACTCATTAATAAATGTGGGGACCACTAAAATGCTACAACTGGTTCAAATGATATGATAATTCAGAGAACACACTTATACAGGTTGTTAGGAAGGTTGAAATGAATTCACAGATAGATGCAAAGTAAGCACTGTACAAAGAGCAAAAATCAGTATAATTCCACCTGACAGAAACTATTTCATTTCTATGAACTAGAATCATTTGCATTATTAACAATTTTCTTCAACTTACAGAATTATGTAGGAGTTCAAAAACAATGATAAGAGAGAATACCCTGAAAAATGACTAGACAGGCCCCACAGTCATTCACTTCCCCCATTCCAAAATATCACAATTTTTTTCTTTCAAAACTATATGAAATCAATAATGTTATTTGTAAAACTCAGTAACGTGCTGCAAAAGTCTGAATATCATTTTATCCTTTAATAAGGAAACAAAGAAGAAAAAGAAATTATGCCTATTATTTCCTGGAAAGAATTACTTTACCATATCAATTTAGTCTTTTTTTCTTTTTCTCATCTTTACTGAGGTATACTTGACAAATAAAATTATATAAATTTAAAGAGTATAAATGGATGTTTTGAGATACATATGTAATATATATACACATACTGTGAAATCAGCACGGTCAAGGTAATTAATGTATTCATCACTTCACAGTTTCCATTTGATTGATCATTTGACTGTGGCAGGAACACTGAAGGTCTACCCTTTCAGCAAATTTTAAGTATACGATACAGTATTGTTAGCTACAGTCACATTGCTATATGTTAGATATCCAGAACTCAATGGTCCTGTGTAACCGAAACATTTTACCCTTTAACCAACATCCTCCCATTTTACCCTCTGCAGGCCCTGGCAGCTACCCGTCTACTCTCTGCTTCTGTCAGTTTAACTACTTTGGATTTCTGCATACGTGATATCGTGCAGTATTTTTCTTTCTGTGTCTGGCTTAGGTCTCTAAGCATGATGTCCTCCAGGTTCATCCAAAAGTTTTGCATTTCTAATGGCACTGCTTCTACATGTGACTTGGGGAATAAAAGGACGTGATTACATACATGTGCCATATTTTGACTTTGTCTTTCTTTCTGCTCTGTACTACCATTCCCACCACTCACCTCAAATGCTGCATTACTTTCTAATGTTGTTGTCTAGAAAAAACAAGTTTCTTTCTTTTAGCTTCACATTTAACTAAATCAAATAACATTCTGTAAATATAAAAGGGCAAAGTATGTGTCGTATATTTCTGACACATTACATAAACATTCATATGGACTGAATGTTCATGTTCCTCCAAAATTCATGTGTTGATTAATATAAGGATTACCCAATGGGAAGGTATTTGGAGGTAGGACCTTTGGAAGGTTATTAGGTTTACATGAAGTCTTTAGAATGGAGCTCCCCTCATCACCCATGATGGGGTTAGGGCCTTTATAAGAAGAGGAAGAGGCCAGAGCTCTCTTACTACTCTGTGAGGATGAAACAAGTTGACAATCCTCTGCAAACCAGGAAGAGGTCCCTAATCAGAAACCACACTAGCTAAAAACTTCCTAGGCTCTAGAACTGTGAGCAATAAATGTGTGTTTTTTAAGCCACCCACTCTATGTTATTTAGCTATAGCAGGCCAAGCTAACTAAAATGGTTACCTATTTAAATTTTTTCTGACATTAGGAAGTTAATCATTAGCCAGGTATGGTAGTGCATGCCTGTAGTCCCAGCTCCTTGGGAAGCTGAGATAGGAGGATGTAAGCCAGCAGTTCCAGGCTGCAGTGAGCTATTGATTGCACCACCACAATCCAGCCTGGGCGGCAAAGCGAGACCCCGTCTCTAAAAAATAAAAATCAAACATTAATCATAAATGGGATAATTATTCTTGTGAACTGTGGTAGTGGTTACACTAATCTATACGTTAGATAAATTACATGGAACCATACACATACAAACACAAATGAGCACACATATAAACCAGTAAAACTCAATAATGTCTGTGGTCTAGCTAACAGCATGGCACCAATATCAATTTCCTGGGTTTGACTTGTAGTATGGTTGAATAAGTTGTCAATATTGCAGGAGGCTGGGTGAAGTATTCTATGTGCTCTTTTTACAACCTCATGTGAGTGTATGTTTTTTTTTAAGTTTAATGAAAGTTAACCACATGTTGAGAACATAAGTAGATTATTCATTGGTAGGATGTGTTATAAAGTTTTCAGTGGGCATTTCTGGAAGATAAGAATACTAAACTCTGTTAATTAAAATGAGAAGATGCAGTTATTGATGTATGGAAACTCTTCTGTTCTAAAGTTCTATTTCATTTTATTCTCATAGATTTAAGAGCACAGGTGCAG